GCGGGTAAACCACGAATAATCCGCACAATCCAGGGGTGTGGTCCTCACAAAGACGAAGTGTCAACAGGATTGCACACATACAGTTAAACACATATATTACATGTTATGAACAGCTTTACAAAAACAAAACAAAACAAAAAACAAAACAAAACCAAAACACAACAACTTGTAGGACATAATTGTAGAGTTTCTATATGTACAATTAGTATACTGTCGAACCAATAATTTAATATACCATGTAAAAAGTAAACTTCATGACAAATACAATGCATCACTCAAATATCAACAATTAAGTAGTACAATATCATATATATATATAGATGATTATAATGTGATATTCTGTTATTGGTAATGGGGTAAAATAACTAAAAGGCATTTGGATGTGGCCCACTTCTGCCAATGATGCAGCCTAGCTGACTTCCATCTGGTCCAGATCAAAACAACCTTATTTAACAGTTGTATTCATCTTGTCTTTGCATGTGTCTCCATTCATGTTGGCTTAGTGATCACCTTTACGGTGGTATGGGGGACCAGTCCTACCTACTGATCTGAAAGACTTTTAACCCTTGTCATAATATGGAGATGAGAAGTATAAGAAGAATATATATATATATCTTTATATCTATTTGATTTTTATTTAATTGTTCCCTTGGCACTGTAGGATATATCCTGCATTTGTGTAGGGATACCAACTTAAATAGCACATATTTCATCCAGTTCTGCATGTAGCAGTGCTGTCGTCAGCTCGGAGCCCAGACCTGTTATTTCTGCTGTCTGGATTTCATCAGTAATGATTATGTGGTAATTTGAGTTGCCATCAATTAAATTGACCTGTGTTTAAAAATACTCTTGTGTCCTGAAGAATGTTGTCTGTAAAGCATGTGATGGAGTAAAACTGCAAAAACAACAGAAGGTCGGAGTAGGTCGTAGAGAGTTTCCATTGCTTCTCCGTGTCAGGATCAATATGACTGATGTGCCGCCGTGTCAGGAAAGCTGATCTTTTTGGGTGATGGTTGCTGGGCAGATTTCCTCCAGGGGTTTCTTTTCTCCCCTGTTGGTGGGGGATGAAGGTTTGGATGTGTAGTGTCTATGTAAAAGCTATTGACAGTGCAGCCAGAGAAGAGCCTTAGTCAGCAGTAGATTGATCAGTCCTGCGGCACCAGTCTGCTTCACTGGACAGTAGCCCAGCTGGTCACCAACAGTGTAGACGTCTACAGTGATGTGCTGTATGAAGGTTCTGTTAATCTAAGACTCTATGACAATAAGCTATTGTGAAACGGATCCATATCAAAGCAAAATATACTGTATCTACAGAGTTTAATTTTAATTTTAAATTACTCTTCTGCAAATGCTTTTAAAATATGCTGAATTGACTAAATTTGAGCTATTGTTGCTACTTTTGGCCTGACTTTTTATTAGTTGCTTTATTTTAAATGTTTAGTTTTTTTACTGACATTTTTTAATTTTTGGATGAACTTTTACCTTTTTTGGCTATTTTGTGCTATTTGATGGGTAAAATGTTCCTGGTCATCGTCCAACATTCAAAAAATGTTGGTTATAAACAAATAAAGTTGAACTATATTGATCCTATATTTGGGAAATTGTTGTGGTAGCAGCAAATATGCTGTGGTTCTTCTGGGAATCGAACTCAGGACTCTCCGTTCTTTGCTTTCGAGGCAGACGTGCTAACAGCTACACTATGGAATGGATTATGGTTGATTTCATTTATATTAATAATGTGTTGTTCCAGTTTTTGATTTCTGGCTTCTCTTACAATGACTTGGCTGCTGTGAAATGTGTTTCTCCCCGGTCCAGGTCTCAGTGGAGATGGACATGAGCAAACCGGACCTGGCTGCTGCCCTGAAGGACATCAGGGCACAGTATGAGAACCTGTCAGCCAGGAACCAGGTCCAGACTGAGGAATGGTACCGATCTAAGTTTGCCACTGTGACTGAGGCGGCTGCTCGCAACCAGGACGCCATCAAGCATTCAAAGGAGGAGCTGAGCGAGTATCGCAGGCAGGTACAGGCCCGCACCCTGGAGATCGAGGCCCTTAGGGGCCACAACGAGGCACTGGAGAGGCAGATTGCAGAGATGGAGGACCGTCATAACAATGAAATTGGAGAGTTGCAGGTACGATGACCGAACTATGACTACCATATGTAGATGTTTTTCCATTTTCTACCATATGTAGATGTTTTAATCCATATGTGAGGACAACAGGTGGTAATTAGTTGTCTTTTGACACACGTGAAAGCTTCAGTTGACAATGTGATTGTACAATGTATCAATGTTGTATTTTGCTTTTCATTTTAATTATTAAGAAAATCATTAAACATTTCATTAAATCTTTAATTCGTACAGCCCTACTGTAAGTGCGTAATGGTGGTCATGAACCCATGACTCCCGTTGTGAATCGTGGATTTACAAACCTTGATGCAAAATCCAGAGATTTACTGTGCGCAGTGAAAACTGACACAAACAAACAAACACTAACACATTGAGTTATTGAATTATGCTGTGCATAGCAAAGGAGTGTCCCATATCAAAAATCAATAATGTCTCTGCTCAGGGTGTTTTAATTGACGTTTGTATCTGTTTGTGTGTGTGTGTGTGTGTGTGTGTAGGACACCATTCAACAGCTCGAGGTTGCGTTGCACAGCACCAAAGGAGAAATGTCCCGTCACCTGCGTGAATACCAGGACCTTCTGAATGTTAAGATGGCACTGGACATTGAGATTGCTGCTTACAGGTCAGAGACAGGGAAAAATAATTTACTTCTCAGTTTAAAAAAAAGAATAAAAAAAAAGAAAAGAATGTGAAAGTCTGGTTTGTTGTCTGGTCTTGACATGGACCTCTTAAAAACAGCCAAACATTAGTCTAAATCCATGAGATGAGAAGTACCACCATGATGACCAACATTAGAATATAGCAGCATAGGTCTTCCCTGTTAGCTTCCACCACAGGAGAGAGGTTTAGAAAGATGTTTAGAAATGTTGTATTAATTGTGCATGGTATGTTTCAGATTTATTCAATTGAAAATGTAAATATGAAAATATGAATTTTATACTAGAGAGCGTACCACAGTTTGAGAACCCCTGGTCTAAATAACCGAGAAATAAATGAAGAACTAAAAAGCTGAGTTGTAGCCATAGGCTAGCATAAAATGTTTCCACTTTGATTGCTAGTAAACATGGCTTTACATTTTTTTATGTAGCAATAAAAACATAAAAATATTTAAATCTTCAATTATCTTTCCAATATAAATGTGACTCTTCTTCTTCTTTCTTCCTATTCTATTGCGTGTAAACAGGAAGTTACTGGAAGGCGAAGAATGCCGCATCAGTGCTGTAGGTGGAGCCATGGTCCAGTCAGGATATCCAGGCTTCTCCTACATGTCAGCTCGAAGCTACGGCCTTGGTGCATTGAGGAAGTCCGGTGCCAAACCTGAGGTAGAGGAGGAGGAGCCAGAGGAGGAGGAAGAGGATGAGAAGGAGGAGGAAGAAGGAGAGGAGGGAGAAGACGGAGATGATGAGGATGGAGAAGATGGAGAAGAGGGAGAGGATCAGGAGGAAGGTGAAGAAGGAGAAGAGGAGGAAGAGGCCGAGGAGGAGGAGAAGAAGGTGAAGGGAGAGGAAAAAGAAAAGGAAAAGGAGAAAAAGAGCCCCACTGGCAGGAACAGCAAGAGCTAAAATGCTTGTTTAGACATCTTTATCCTCATCATCATCAGCACATAAGTCCACATAACACCCATCACTTGTAATGGATGTCGTTACAGTTCAAAGTTACAAATATCCAACACACAACACATTACCACCTCCTCAATCCCATACAGAAGTAATTAGAACCCTGATGACTGAACCACGACATTGTCCCTTAACATTAACGTTGAGCTGTGAAGATCTACTACGTGACCTCTTTCAATATGTCAATATATGTCCTCAGTAAAATAGATTCAAATTATTTTTCTCTTCCATCATACAGTGATGAATGCCAGACCATTAGTCACCATTTTACGTATCCCATTCTGACTGGATCTGGGCCACTGACATTAGGATTTACAACTCAGTGTTGGACCAGGCATGTAATAGGTTATACATAGACCAACCATTCATCACAAAACACAGTAACAAAGTTACTGTTTAGCTCTGTGTATGTGGTTCTCAACATAATTGGTTTGAGTAAATACTTAACCCTAAAGTCTATTTTTAATTATATCTAATTCAAACTCTTAATCTAAAATCTAAAATTTAGCATTAAAAACTATATCATAACGTAACCCTATCCATGTTAACTGGGGGACCTGATGAAATGTCCTCACAACATCACAACACATGTCCCTATGTGTTAGGTTGTAAACATAAATGTGTCCTCACAAACTATCGAGCAAGACTTTGCCCTCTTGTGGTAATGCCAGTTAATGCGCTGTTAGACAATTCTTTGCAGTCAGTGTCTAGGAGGACAACAAATATCTCCCTCCCTCTCCCTCTCTCCCTATCTCTCTCTCTCTCTCTCTCACACACACACACACCTGTTTACTCAATAGCAGATGTCTCCAACACTTATCCAATGAAGCAGGTGTTCTGCAGTAGAGGGAGCTAATACTGTAACGTTATATTAAAACTCTGGCAGAAAACCATCGCACACCGTCTTCACACTCTGCCACAATTTTCACCATGTGTGTGGAAAGATGTCTTGTAAGCCAGCATGAGTTTCACCAGTGTTTCAAACTGAATGTGAGCTTCAGCAGATGTGCCATTTTCAATCAATAATCACTGCAAAAGCAATCAATACTTGGTTGAAAGTAACAATTTTTGTCAGCACACACACTTTATTAGACAAATGCACAGATTTTGGAGCATGACCAAGGATTGACCAATTCCAACTTTTACGGTGCTATTTAATTTTTACATACAATAAAAGTTGGGGAGTACTGTAAAGTGGAGTTTTTTTCCCAAAAGAATACATGGTCGATCAGCTTTTTTGTTCTGAACGTTCTAGCTTGTGTTAAAAATGTGTGTTACTGTATGCAGCAGGTGAGTGCTTTCTTCCACCGCTTTGCATTTTCTTCCCCACAACCTGACACAACATGTCATCTCACCATGACACAATGAAATGTACCACCGACCCTTCTGTCCTCTTATTTCCGTCTTCTCATTTCACCGCAGCCCTGCAATGAAGGCAACTCAGAGCTCAGAAAATTCTGTAAATACTGTAGAAGTGTGCTGGGACGGTGGGTGCTTTTCTTTCATTTGCTTGAAAAACAGGGGACGAGAAGGTGGAGAGGTGGTAATAAAATGTTTAGAGTTTAAAATGCTGCTATATATATATATTTATTTATTTTGAAGTATACAAAGCGAAGTATACAACCCTCCCATCCTTTGATTGATTCGTTTGTCAAGAAATGTTTCTCCCGTCATTTCTTTTTTCTCAAAATACAAATCCAGTGCTTTTTATTTCTTACCCCTTCTTTCTTCATCCTTACACAAACTTATGTTCAGTTTAGCTGTAAAGTGAGCAGGACGGTGATGGCTGTGAGTGTCAGGCAGCAGAAGGTGACACTGAGAGTCTTCAGCTCAGGCTGCAGGTGACAGGTGACAGGTGATGCTGCCGGTGTCCTAGTGTTAAGGTACAGAGTCACATTTAAGGGCTACTTTCACTGTATCTCCATGTACCACTTCCCCCTTCTGTACTGTCACGTTACACTTCATCATCTTTTGTTTGTTTTTGACAAATGAATCAACCAACAGGCATGAATGCATGGCCTGACTCATGGAGCTTGACTATTTTTGGATGAGGTAGAGTTTTTGCTTGCAGTGCATTTAAAGAATAATAATAATAATAATAATAAAAAATAATAAAACACTTGCCTTAACATGACTGAAGTTAAAATAAAAACACTTGTTCACCTGCATCTCACTTGTTTCTGGGGAGGTTGAAGAGTGCAGACACTTTCCAGACTGCTGTACAACTGTGACTGTATATGTGCTGCTAATTCATGCAGTGATCTTCCTCTCAAAGCCAAATAAAAACATTTATTAACCAAAAATCACTGCCTGTGTGTTTTCTCAATGCAAAAAAAAACAACAAAAAAAAAACAACTACTACTTTTACATTTATGAAAAGTGATGTGAAGTGAAGCTTTCAAAAGACAGTTAGTACAGAAATACTGGGCTATGAAATCATGAAATCTTTAAATAAATAAATAAATAAATAAATAAATAAATAAATAAAATAGAAATTATATTCTCTAATTTTCATCATTACTTTGTTTGGCCAAAAGCAGGTTGACTCCATTTAAAAAAACATGTACATGTTGTAAAAGTGTTAAGTCAGGTCCGTCTGTTGCTGTTGGGTTAATGAGTTCCATTACACTCACCTGTAACCTGTGATTTATTGTTCTTTATTCTCACTTGTCTCACCTGGTGCCCTACCTCTCTCTGTGTCATTGATTATGGTTCCTGGTCTCCTTGTGATCTTATTGTCTCTGTTGCCAGCTGGTCCTCGGTTTTGTCTAGTTAAGACTGGATTACCTTCCTGATTATTTTTTAGAACTGTTAAATCAACCTACCAGCTTCTCTGGTCCTCCCCTACAGATGATGTTACTAACCTCCAGTAAAACCAACAGCAGCTCTTCCACCACATTATTCCTCAGGTTATTTTATGAACTGAACAACTGATTAAACACAAATCACTGCATGTGACTGAAATGACGCGACAGACTTTAAACGGCTGGAGCTTGCACTGGTCGTACTGCATTTATCATCTGTCCATAAATTCAAGGTCTACAGCCGTCATCTGCTGCACAAGCAGGCTGTCAAATAAATCAAAGTGAAACATCAAGGCCAGTCTGAACACAAATCACTGTGAAGGCTCCAACAGGTGAACTTTCATCATGCTGGAAAAACATTTTGAAACCAAACCAAAGCAGGTGCAGGCAACTGGTAACAGTGTGGTCCACAATATTCTCCCAGTACAAAATCAGCCAATTCATAATTGTTTGAGAGACACTGCAGCACATCACCATCACAACATGGTTTCACTGCATCTGATTTCACTTCCACAGGCTGGAACGAACAATTGGAGTTGGAGTCTTGGCAGCTTAAATGTTATGTCCATAGTCGCACATCATCTGACCTAAATGAGGGTGTATTAAACATGTGAATTAGACAAGTCATACAGTTTGAGAAACTAAAGGGACCAGCTGTCTGTTTAACTTAGTCATTTCTCTTTATTTCCTCAACGAGATCAATCTGCCACAAACAGGACTGTTAGATGGTCTGTTCTTTGGAGTAGTTTTGTGGCCTTAACAAGTAGATTATCTGTGTATTTGTGATAATCCACCGTAAACTGCATGGCTGCTAAAACTTGTACTTCACTTCCAGTATATCATATATATCAACCAACCAACGTTGGCTGCTGCAGTGGGTGGGGCCTAAACACTGCTGGAGGCACGGCCCACTGCTGAGGTGTGGTCCTCAGTGCAGCAGTGTGTGAATCCTGCTTCGTCAGGACAGGCTTTAGAAAATATGTCAGGGTGGGACCAGTGCACCAACTTAATTATTTACATTTCTGTCACAGCAGTCAAATGGGTCCTACACGCTACAGAATGTACTTCCTACAATAACAGCTATTACCTTCATTGTTGCAGCTGCAGACTGTTTGCTTCTTGTACAATTGGCATGTCTTAGCTTCTGTGTGCCTGAGCCCATAAATGAAAGATAAAGGACGCTGTGATGGATGGGGTTTGCTTACGTTAGAGACAACTAAGATGTCTCCAGTTGGAGCTTCATCACCACCTCAGCTTGTTTATTTCCTGAGTGTGTGTATGTGTGGGTGTGTGTGTGTGTGAGAGAGAATAATCACAGTGGCAAAAACATTATCAGCTTTAACAGGTGATAAATACAGATGTCAGAAGGGCAGTGGGAGGACGATAGGTCTGATTCTGGGTTTTAAATCTGCTGATGAGCGGATGCAGACTAGACTGCAGGAAAAAGAAATGTTAGACGATACAACAAGGCCAAAACCGCAATCACACCCCCGACCCCAGATTGTGTGTGTCTCGCACAGCTATAAAAAGTCAGATACTATCTGATACAGATTGATGTGACGTTCAAGTGACTTTGGAGTTGAGAGTTGAGATTCTTTTATCTCCCATAAACTTTAGGATGTAATGTATTTAATTGACTGAATTCAATCATCCCTGAAAGTTATGTGTACTGTCATGTTTGTTGTTGTTGTTAGGATACGTTTGTACAACACATCCCTTACCAGCGGCACCACTGCCATCATGCAAAATCACACACTGGGTTTAGACCACTGAATTCAGGAAAGAGCAGCAGAAAAGTCATCTCAATATAAATGACCATTAGGATTTTCACCATAATTACAAAACCTGAGTAAATTAAATGCTTATTTTTTCCAATAATTAAACTAAGATATTTTTTTATTTTATTTATTTATCGAACATGTAACAGGTTTTCATTCCTTAACGTCACTAAGCTTTATTTTTAATTTAGCTATATTTCCTACCATATCATTACTGCCACCTGTTGGACTTACTTGAAAATATGCAAGTTTACTAACGTTAGGGCGACACCTATTTGTTGGAGTTGCTTTTTACTATCATACTATATATATACTATATATCATATGTGTTGGTAAGTACAGTATACATTTTTAATGTATACTGATATTTTTTGAGATACACAAATGTGATGTTGCTATTTTATTCCTCAAAATAAAATATTATTTGGAAAAAAAGTCAGTGTGTGTGTGTAGTATAACTGAGAGTACGACAAAAACCTTGTACTCACACAGCAGTAGTGGCGTTGCTCTTCACTGCCCCTCAGAGGTCTCAGTGGCACAAACTGCAAATGTAATATACCGTATGTTCTGTTATGTTGGGGGTGGTGTGTGGGGGGGGGGGGGGGGGGGGGAGATTGTTTGTTTTTTTACCTGTAGCTAATCCTTTTTTTTTAAATGGGATGCTCTTGGCGTGTGTTCTTGTATTGTGACAAAATGTGACAACTAGCATTTAAACTTCCGGGTGGAGATGTTGTCCCACATGCATGAATTTATTGTTTCACCACAGAGGAAGTCTGTGAGGAAGTGATGAAAGCAACCAAAATGAGAGAAAGAATAAGTTGACTTGTCGGTTGTAACTGGGTGAAGCCTCTAGAGTTTGAAGCAGAAAGAGCCTTTTGTATTTTGTACCCAACTAATTTTTACTCAACGATAACGATTGATATATAAAATATGTCGTAAGTTATACAGAGCAAATAAAAAAAATATTGTATTTTATTGCATGAAACAGAGATAAACAGTAGAAATACAAATTGGCCCAGAAGCAATGTCTCTGTCATTGGCCTGGAACCCCAGGGTTCACCTCCTGGGCAAGTTCGAATCCCGGTTATGGCGGTTGGTACCTTCCAGTGGACTCACCACCTGCAGGAAGGTTTGGAGGGTTGGTATGGAGCAGTGTGATTTGGGTGGAGACTGCTGCCCCCGCGACCCGGTAACGGATAAGCAGATGAAAATGGATGGATGGATGGGTAAAAATACAAAAGCTGAGCTGTTCCACAGGAACAGCCAGTGTTACTGAGAGTTAATCTCTTGTTTTGCTTTGATTAAACAAACGAGGTAATGTGTTTATACTGATCTTTGGAAGTGCTGCTGTTGGGCGGATTGTCCTCCTGCTGGAAGCCGTCCAGACTCATTTCCTTGAGACATCATTCCATTGAAAGGCTGTGCCGTACACTACAGCTTAATGTCCGTAATTGTAAATCAATACACTTAAAGAGTAACTTGTCACAGGCTGAAAACCCTGCCTTTGCTGACCTGCTGTGACTTCATCTGCTGTAGGTCGGCTCAGTGCTACACTAAAGACCAATATGTTTTAATATTTAAAACCAGACAATGCAGTAAAAACAGCCTCAGCCCAGTGTGAGGGGTGTTGTTCTCCAGCATCAGAATGACTGATGCTCTCCACTGGCAGAGTTACGACCCTGTGTCTGCGTGTCAGAGGGCAGATTTATTCAAAATACAACAGTTCGATCGAGCCCACACCTCTGCGGGCCTGTGGCCAAGGTGTTGGCTCGCCCTTGATGTGCATGTGTGAGCTCTGCCGTCAGCAGTTTCTGTTGTTGTGGAGGTGCATACATTATTGAGGCCCTCTCCTTCTCCTTCTCCTCCGCTACTCCCCAGAGACCTTTAGAGATGAAGCAATAAATACTCAATGTCAGCATTTAACTGTTCTTGTAAGTGGGTGTCTACAGTCATATCATTACATTTCCATTTCGTTAGTGAGTTAAACACTGAGATAGTGGCAAGACAACCTTCAGAGACCCTTCACATCTGAAAGGCCTGATTGGGCCAAAGATGGACGACTGGTTGTGAAAGAATCTTAGGACAAGCAGATTTGACAAATTCCAAATGGAACCACCTGCCAGTGTGGGTGCTTAAGGCTGACACCAAGTTAGACTTAAAACCTTACTATTTGAAAAATCATATTCATAAGGCCGGCTCAGGTAAAACTGAAAAAAAAGGTAAATCCTTTAGTTAAGCTGCTATAGGCCTAGACTGCTATGGGAACCACCATGGTGCACTGAGCTCCTTCTTTCCCTCACTCTTTTAAGAAATGCATACACTTACTGTTGAATTAATCACACCCGTTTTAGTATACAGAGATTTTTAAGACAGCAAAAAACAATCTGCAAACTGCGAATTGGGTTCGGCCTTCAAACCCTGCAGTGAAACAGATATGGCAATGTGCTGTCATTCTTCAGTTCATTTACTTATTAAAGATCACTTTATTCATTTATGCTTCCTGTGTCTTGCTCTGCTACTTTCTGCCTCCCCATCTCTCTCTCTCTCCCTCTCTCTTTGTCAGTCTGTCTTTCTCTCTCTCTCCCTCTCTCTGTCTCTCTCTCTACAGCTATATATAGTCTTCTGCATTGCAGATGTCCCAGAGCCCCGCAATTCAGGGGGAGCTGCTGAAGAGTCTCAGCCAAAATTTAGGATTGTTTTTGGCTGCCTGACAACACACACAAAGACGAAGGGTGAAAGCAGGAGTGTGTGTCCGGGGGAGAGTACGACCGTCACAAGGCATGACAGGACAGCACACAGTATAACATCACATACTCAGCACAGCTGAAATCTGTCCAACACATCACACTGCGGCAAGGATGAAGTGCCCCCACAGAACAGAGTTAAGACCACTGCAGTCATAATCTTTGGTGGGTGTGTTTTAATGGTAGGTTTTCTCTGCTATTTCCTCTGCTAGAGAAGTGACTCAGCAGTATAGAAGCAGTAAATGTGTGTGAAGTAGATACAATAAATACGATATTAACTACAATTTAAAAATGTTATTCCAAAACGTGGAACCTGAATTAATTTTAATTATTAATGATCCTAATGTATGTACTTTCAGCTGATTATTCAGCCATTTATTTTAAGAACGTTATTTAGTATATTTATATAGTTATAGACAAATATGTTCTTCAAGGACAACATTTACTCACTCTGAAAATACAACATTCCACTATCCTTGTTAATGCTGTGCTGGCTGTTATACTATAGTTCAGAGCAAACTCTGTACCGTGGAGCTGTACCCTTCCAATAAATGAAGTAAAGTACGCGGGTCCTCTCTCTAAATCTTAACTCACATTCTGAACATAAGTACCTATGTCACTTACCTACACTAACACAGTGGTAAAATCTTATAATAGGACATAAAAACATCAGAAACACCATAGTTAAGGGCAAAAAATATATACAAAAAAATTCATCTCTAAAAGATGAAAAAATGAAATCTCTCAAAAAAGAAAGCGAATGGAGCACAAGCCAATGTATGACCATTAATTTGTTCTCTCTGCTAGCCAAATACTTCCCATTGTTGTATAAAATGCAAGGATGGAACAAGAGTTTTTAAATAAATCTGTACGGGAGATGGGGACGTAACCAGGAAACCCTGTGGGTTGACAGGACACCTGTAATTTATTACGTGTTCCCTGAGACTATAATGGAAGCTATGATTCTGGTGATTCTGTTCTCACCATCAGCAGTGGACTTTTGTTGTTTTTTGATCAGTCTGTTAATAGGCAATGGGAACTAACACTTTTATAAAAGTGTAAATTTTACTAAATTAAATGTTATTTGTTGTTAAAGTGCATCATACTGCTTAAATACTGCCCAAACAGAACAGTTGTACATTTATGTCAGTTCTAAAATGTTGTAAAATGTAAGAAAATGGAACACATTTTTGCCTTGTGTCACAGCACTGCTAACCATCTTTTAATGTCTAAGGAGAGTGAACAGCTGCTATTGAACTGTTGTATTTTGGCTGCAGAGCTGTTTCCTCTCTGCTGCAACAATGGTACGGCATTAAGTATTTATGTATGCTGGCTGCTCAGGGTACAGACACACAAACACAGAGAGAGAGAAAGAGAGAGAGGGAGAAAGAGACAGAGAGAGAGGCAGAGAGAGAGAGAGAGAGAGAGGGGGAAGGGAGGGAGAGAGAGAGAGAGAGAGAGTGGGTATTTGCTGCCCCTTGGTGTTAAAGATACAAATTACAGCATCAGGGGACCACTATGATCAATCCCTCTTCTTTTGTCAAACCTCTGTAATTAAAAAAAAGGTTAGATCCACAGAGATTCTTTCACTTTTGCTAGCAACTGGTAATAAAGAAGCTCGTTAACGTCTCATAGTAACATGATAATTTTCTTAAATAAACAATGTTCTCACATCACCCCCCCCCCCTCAATCCGATTCATTTAATGTTACTGGATCTAAACGTTTGACGTATTAAGCAGAGAGTCAAAAAGAAGCCATCCTGCATACTTCTAATTTTTTTAATATGGTGAGGTACCGTTTAAAATAACAATGAAGCAGTTCTGTTGTTAACCTAAATTAAGCTTGGTTTCATCGTCTGGGTAAAACAGAGCGATAATGGTTATACAAGATGCTGTCCATTGTTGTTGTTGTTTGTTTGTTTGTTTTTTTAATATTTGCTTTTGCGCAATAATTGTATAGCTTACTAGGCTATTGACGTCAGAGACCTGAAGTCAAGTTAGAGAGATCCCAACTATATTTCCGTAAACAGGAACACATTAAAATTAAAAAAGTTTTAAGAACGTTTACAAATGTAATGCTATCGCGAACTAAATGTAACAATTTGGCAATTTTAAGGTAGCTATTTGTTGGTTTGGGCCAAATCTATTTGAGATCAACATTCAAGTCACCCATTAAAGTATGATTAATCACCAACATGAAGAAAAAATGTTTTTCTAGTCTTGTTTGTTTGCTGCGTCGACTGCTGACTTTTACTTTGAAAACCCGGAAGAGCATTCATTGGCGTGAACGAATGACATCACAGTTGAGGGGGTCTTCGAGTGAAAACGGCGTTGCTGTGAAAACAAACCATAATAGGAAAATATTAGCCCGGAATCCGTTCGTCATTTAAAACGGAATTGAAGAACATTTAGTTTGAGGACTATCACAGCTTCTCCGCTACGATGACAGAGCTGAGGCAGCGCGGAGCCAAAGAAAGCGACGCATCCTTACAGCAGCAGCGATCCGAGGACAAGGTAGCGGTTGTGGTCGTTTGGGTCTAATGCTAAGGCTAGTTAGCAGTAGACTGTTATCCAAACGCACCGTACTTATTGAGTTATGTCTGCATATATTTAAATGTTTTCCTCATTGTCCCTTATTTTGTCACGTAAACGGGAAACGCGTTAACAGGAGCGCTAAACAAATCATCATTTAAACATTACAATTTAAGGCGTGTTTGGCTGTCTAGTCACAGTCATACTCGGCCATAGAGACACAGAGACATAAGTCATACTTATGTCTCTGTGTTACATCAGAGACATAAATAATAGACTACATATAATAACTAGGCAGAGACACAAAAGTCAAATAACTTTTTTGTGTTTGCATATCTATATTTTTATTTTAAAGATGGCTTCCCACATATCAACTTGCTTATCAACATCAATGTAGAAGAATTGAAGTTGAACCCCAAAAAATTGTCAAATTATCCTAAATCTATCTATCTACTCTACAGCACCTTCTTGGGTGTACTACTTCTTGTAAATGAACAATGGGTGGGTGAAATAATAAATGTCAATCCATTTGGAAAAATACATAGTCGATTATTTTAAAATAAGACTGCTAACATGATCATCAACACAGTTTATATGAGTGAAGGAAACATTTTCTGGCTTTTAGTTTCTAAAACTGAGGCGCTTGAGAATAGCTGTTTTTTATCATGCTAAAATTTATTACAATCAGTATGTATTTGCAACAGTGATGATGAAAATAGTGCGATTGTCCTGGTCTGGTTCACACTGAAGGTGATCAGAGCGGGTTTTAGAGTAATTTAAATAATGTGATTGCATTTATTTGCTTATTAAGTTCAGTTTCTCATTCAGAATATTTTCTGTTGAATCATTGTGTTAAAATAATATTGTTGTTTTATTTTGTAGTGTTTTCATACTTCCAGGATTCTGTGTACTTTTGGTTAAAGTCGCAAAAGCCCAACCTAATTAGGTATCAGACAAAACTGTGAACAGGTCTTAGGAAACAGATGAACATGATGATGATGTTTGAGTTTTCCATTGGTCTTCCTGAAAGCATGAAAAGGGGAGGGAGGTTCATTCCATAATGAGCTGCTATTTTTAACCAGAGCATTCTGAATGACAGACATTGTCTCCATAGAAACCACTGGCTTCAGATTGAGTCTCTCTTTTAGTATGTGTTTATTCTTGTGCAAACAGCTGCATTCAGCTAGTGAAGTTTGACGTTGACAGTTCAAAGAAGGTTGAAGCCTGGTGCACGGCACATGAAAGATGGACTGTTTCCTTCACTGTCAGTTTGTCCGTTCCTATTCGCAGAAAGAAACCTAAGGTTTTCAAAGCATCGTAAAATGTACTCGTCACATTACCTGATCTGTCTTAACTCTTTAAGTGATATATGCTAATTTTAGATGCGTTGTGGGGTTTCTGTTCACTCAGTAGTGTAGCAGGTTATTTGAAATTAATTTTTTTTTTCACTCTTTAGATTGTACGTCTTACATCACCATATTGGTTTACAACAGTGGTTCTCTACCTTAATAATTACTTAAAATAAATAACATACATTTTAATATTTGGTATGACCTTGTATATCTATTTATACTTATGGACATGATGAAATTGGCTACCATATATAGTAGTTCTAGATGAGACCTTTTTCTGGTGTTACTTCAGCTATCTGTCCAGTTCTTTTTCTACAGCTTTAACCATTTATTAGTTTATAAAAAGTTCCTGTGCTTTGGAACACCACCCCGTTTTGCACGTGTACATACTGTGAAATTCTCTAATTTGGTGAGACAGAAAAGAGAAAATATATTTAGAGCAATAAGGTCTTCATTATGCTCTTAGTCCCTTAATATGGAGAAATATGTGCTATTTGGTAACTTTATAGGCAAGTAAACCCAACGAAGCAGCCAAATGGAACAGTCAAGCACATTCACTGCAAACGACAAAAACAGAAAATTTGCAGCTGTAGTTGAACTGTAGCAGTGAGTCATTGGTACAGCTTTTGTGTGTGTGTATGTGACTAAGGAGGCTTCACAAGACACATATGCAACGATTCTCTGTGCTGTGAATGTAAGGCATAAGCAGTGTGGACCCAGTGTGGTCATCAGCAGAAGAAGTCAGTGGGCTTTTTCTCAGAAATGACAACAACAGACCAACCTCTTTGCTTAAAACAGACGTGACTGTGTTATATCCCCTAATAACAGCTATCGTTTGATTGAGAGTGACCTCCATCAGAGAACAGACGGTTCTGAAGGTTGAACAATATGGTTGTGAATAATTTGGCGCAGTTCCTAGCTTCCCCCTGCCAAATCCTCTGCTGGCGGCCTGACTGCTCTTTATGTAATACCAATAATTTCTCTCTGACACAATCAAGACAAGTTATTTTCAATCCGGGATTAAAATTAGCATTAAATTGTAAATGCACATTTGTGATGTTGTTTGACGATGTAAATGCATATGAACAGTTAATTGTATTTAGTGTTTAGATTTAGATAGTGTTTAGATGGTTTAGATAGATTTGGCTCAGTAATTTTAAGTATTTTAGTTGAAGATGAAGATACTGCTCCTCTGCAGTACCTCATCACTCTCCCATGAGAATAAAATAAACCCCACAGTCTATGTAATGATGAGTATCTCTGTGCACCTCCTTACTCCTGTAGTGACTGTTTGCACAATAAGTGTAATGATAGGTGGCCCTCAGATTCCAACATCCTCGACCTATAGCAGACCTTAGTTACATCGCCATTGCGATACATTTATTAAGAAAGTCTTCTTTTCATCATTCTAATGTACAGCGCTAAACCATATTTTGCATTGAAGCTAGTTAACGAGCAAAGTCGACAAATGTGTCGTCATGCTGCATTATACGTGGAAAACAGCTTTGTTTTAATTCACCGGTTGTATGCCATACATTGAATTGTGGTACATTCGTTTCTTTTTGTTTGTGTTGTTTTGATAGCTTTTTGTCCTTCATTGGCTATCAAGTGTAAGTCAGACTCTTCTGATGTTTTTATGTCTTAGATTATGATGTTACATCTGTGCCAGTGTAGGTGAGTGACACAGGTACTTGTATGTACAGTACGGTGAAAATCGAGTTATGCTGCACTATAGGAAAGGAATTACAATGTAAGTTCTCCAGGGTCAACACCTTCTTCTTCTTCTTTTTCTTTCGGCTTTGTCCCTTTTTTCAGGGGTTGCCACAGCAGATCATTGATTTCCATCTCTCTCTGTTCTCTGTATCTTCTCCTCTGACTCCAACTATCTGCATGTCCTCCCTCACTGCATCCATATATCTCCTCTTTGGCCTTCCTCTTTGTCTCCTACCTGGTAGCTCCATCTCTAACATT